CCACCAACGGCGGCCGTGTCGCAGGGACACTCCAGATCTGTTTGGAATTCACGCGTTGGCGGTGTAGACAACTACTATATGTGGTTTGACGAGTTCTTCAAGATGGAATTGCCCCAACTATTTCAACATTTCAACTTCATCGGCGTCCCGACAAGCCTCTTTCTCATGAATTGGCTGCAAACGCTGTTCCTCCAAGTGCTTCCGCTGGAAGTCGCGTCGCGGGTACCGTGTGTGCTTGGTTTGCGTCCATGTTGCGTTGCTTGATCAAGCCACGTTTTCTTGTCCTGGACGATGCACACGATGAAAAGTGGATGCGCGTTCGGTGTGTGGGTCGCGCTGTTGTGCCGGCGTACTAGACTGCGACCGCTCATCGTTTTTCGTTGTAGGTGTTTGACAACTTTTTGCTGGACGGCGTCCTGTTTCTTTTTCGCACGGCGCTGGCCATCCTGACGCTGCTGGGTCCGACCCTATTGGAATACGACTTGGACGTTGCGCTGCCGCTGCTCCAACGACACTACCAGCATCAGAGCCGATGGTTCGAGGTAGGTGTGTTCTCAAGACCGTCGATAGCGATCGATGCTGTCGGTCGTAGGCCCTGGCCGAAGACAAACTGTTTGCCACAATCGCGGCAATCCATACCCCGTCGCACGTGTACATGGGCGTCGAAACGTTGGTGCAAAATGTTTATTTTTACCTCCCCGGGACAGCGTCGGCGGCGTATCCGCAGCAAAAAGTCAGGTAACGTGGCAGAGTGTGTCGACATCGATGGCGGGATGTTGGACCAACGAGGAATGTAGGCGGTCGCGGTATGCCCTGAGCGATCAACTGGACGGCATTGTGGGCGGTCTGTAGCACGAACGCGAGGATGCACCGATCGAAAAGCACGCGATGGCTTCCGTCGGAACTCCTCGATCCATGCCTTGGCATTTTATTCAATCGAGCCGTGTGTCTCCACTTCGCATGACTTGGACGACGCGCACGTTGCGGGCAGGTGGCGCGGTCATGGCTTCCTTGAACAGCGAGCAGCGCATTAGCTGCTTGTGTCATGCCCACGACGTCAGCGAGAGAGTTCGTTAGCGCACACTTATTGCGATGCACCACGATGCTCCAGCGCGTGTTTGTGTGGACGGTACGCCGATATAAATCCTGATCGCCAGCACACATGCTAAAGTCGTAGCACGACGCTTCACTTGTCGAGAGTCATGCAAAGGAGCACAGGTGCTGCTGTGATTCAAGCATCTCAAAGGTGGTCTCTTGACTTCGGCAGCGATGCGTGTAGATGGACCACGCCGACACCACCACTGGGATGCTCTGACGAGTTGTGATGGAGAAGTGAACCATCGACGTCGTCCTGGTCGACCGCTTCTCCACTGGAGCATCGGCACAGCACTGTCCGATGGTTCCTGCTGGCTTGTTTTCAGGCATGGCGATCATGCGCAAGGGGGAATGCTTGAGCCCGACACCCCCAAGTCGAGAGCGATGCCAAGGATTTGACCAGGTCGACCGACCTACAGCAGCGCTCATGTCCCTTGCCACATTTCGCGGTGCACCAGGCAAGATTTTGGTCGATGGGTATGAGCCAATCCGAACCCGCCAAATCCATTTTATCAATCTCTTTTTGTCCAATTAAAAATCGATACCCCTTCGAACGTTCAACAGGCCACCCAACCCCACGACGTCCCATCGAGACCGGATCGGTGGCATGCTCAGTTTCAAACGTCTGCAGGCATGACAACGCGACTGCCGCTGATTGTGGTGGTCGCCCTCGTTGTGCTTCACCTCGATGCTGCGTTGACCACGTCGACCTCCAAGCTCGTCCACCCTCGCCGTAGCGACCGAGCCGTGGTGCACCAGCGAGTCTATGGCGGGTCCCCCACTCCACGTGGTGCTACGCCATGGATTGCTGGCCTTCGGTTCACCGCAGATGGGAGTTCCTTCTGCGGGGGAGCGCTGATTGCACCAGAGTACGTCGTTACGGCTGCGCATTGCGTGACATTTCGCCATGCTCCGCCCAAGGAACTCTTTGTGTCTGTCGGATCGGTGGTCCACAACGGCACCGACGGCGACATTCGGACCGTGGCGATGTACTGGACAGCACCCACTTTTATGAATGCACTGCTTGGATCGGACATTGCCGTGCTCAAGCTCAGCGCGCCGTCCACGAAACGCCCCGTCGCGCTGAGCAACGACTCGATTCGTGCCAACACGTCGACCATCGCATTTGGTTGGGGTGCCACGTCGCCGTCGGCGTATGCATCGGCAACGCTTCTTCAGGCAAATCTGACCACAATCGACAGCGACGAGTGCCAGCGACGCATCCGTGCGTCGTCCAACGACTCATCGTACACGTCGTGGCATGCGACCGACTCGCACATGTGCGCTGGCGGAACCGCGGGCACGGGAACGTGCTACGGGGACTCTGGCGGTCCCGTCGTCGTCAACCCATCGGGTGATGACATCGAGTTTCCTATCCGACCAAGGCAACCGGTACTCGTTGGGACCGTCAGTTTTGGGGTTGCCTGCGCCGCGGGGGTCCCTGATGTGTTTTCCCGACTCTCCACAGCCAAGCCGTTTATTGACAAGTACTCGGTTGGGCACACATGGATCGAGTAGACACCGCAGCTTCACCCGTAAACACTCGATATACAGTTCACGCGCTCTACAACGTTTCGACGCGGAGCGCGCTCCATGCGGCACGCGCTCTTGTCCACGAGCCATGGGGCCCTTTGCCCGCATGAGTTTGGTCTCTAGCAGAGAAGAGCTCGATTCGAATGGTCGCGCACGGGTTTCTACTGTGTTCGGAAGTGTAAGTGCAAAGCCTGGGCGACACTCTCGCACGATCGTGCAGTGCTTTGCCCATTATTGGGGTCGCACCAGCAGAAATACATTTTGTGTGTCTGTCCGCTCGGATGCCTGGGTGTGAGTAGTTTGCCGTCCCCACTCGTTTGAAGCGGCGGCGACCGCTTGGTTTTAAATTGGCATTCAACTCGGGTGGTCATGGGTCGGTCGCTGCAACGACGTTTGCCGGCTACGTCAGGAGAAAAAACACTGAAAGAAGCATGGGCGCTGCACGTTGAGCGCACACGACAGGGGTGTCGCTTGGAGCGATAAACGAGGACATGGTGAGAATCCGTCGCTTCAACAAGACCAAGACGGTGGTGCCACGAAGGCGCTGTCGTCGTCTCGAACCATGCGAATGCACGATTGCGACGGTGAAACATGAGTGCCGTGACGAGTTCCTCGCTGATCCATCGCCCCGCCTGCACACTCCGCGGAATGTGTCCCGTTGTGTGCTCCGCGGCCCGTGCTGTCCTTCCCCTGCAGTCGCTGGAGCCCTTTGCTGGCGACTCAAGTGGTGGCCAAAGGCCCAGCCCCGCCCCCGTCAAATTGGTTATCGAGGCCATTCAAGTCGTGCGCCTGTTGCCAAAATACTCGTTGGGCCAAGCAACACTGTTGATTGCGTGCTCGGTCAGCTCGTGTCGCGCACCTCGATTTGTTCGCGCGGCATACACATGCAAGCGAGGCAAGTGGCATCGCTTCCTGCATCGAAACAGCACGGGATGCCACGGTGATGTGATGCGTTCAACATTTCAAGTCCATACGCATATGCATCTGCATATGGCCACCCAATTTTGTCGCCCTGCTCGCTTCATCCACGATAGCGAATGAGCATCTTTGATCGCTACAGCAGTCGGACCACAACCACGCCACGGTGCATTGTCGTTTGGGTGGGCAGCGCTCTACAATGTAGCCACCAACGTGTATTGTATCGGCAATTCCAGAGGGAACCAGGGCTGGCCTCGGTGCACCTTTATCCACGGCAAACGGACCATCCGTGCGGCGCGGCACAAGTTTTGAGACCGATGCGAATATCCAAACCCGCACGACCATAGAGAAGGTAAAACAGCCTTTGGCCATCACCATCCTGCCTCTTTGTGCGTGCCCGGGGGCAGGGTGGGGCCCATTTCGTTGGCGCAAGAGCGGTCAACGCCTTCGAACGACGCACAGCATTGAGCACTGCCTGGGGGCCATGTTCATCTTGTCCAGATCGTTTGATGGCCACGCATGCAGTCCAACATTCGACCATCAAGACAGAATTGTTCAATACTTGAATGCTGGGCATGACATGTTATGCTCGTCGCCTCCATGACGGAAATTGAAAACTGTTCTCCACCCAAAACTACCACGTAGCGGCGGGTCCAGAGCAGCATTCCAGCGAGACTCGGGATGCCGATCCGCGCATCCCATTTCACGACGACCCACTCAGTTTCACGATACACTCGGCTACAGCATGCAGAGCATGTACGTACGCGCTCAACGAGGCGCTATCTGCACAGGCCATTGCTCAAGGCTTTTGTTTTGCGAGCGCGCCTACACGGGCCTAACTTTCTTGGCGCCTGATCTTTGCACGAAAATTGAATGCTGGCTGGCATTGCGCTTTTGTACCAAACTAACTTCCAAACAAAGCCGTGTGATGAAAAAGGTCACTACCCCTGGCCATGACTGTGACACAGCGAAATGGCCACTTTGACAATCTCGCCATGGCGGCTGCGACTGTATGACAGAGTACTCTGCTTGATGCGGTCACAAACCGTGCAATTCCAACATGGCGTGCCACGCACCCTCGATGCGAAAACCCTAAACTACATGAAGAGTGTAAACGATGCCATTGATCGGTCCGACCCGTCGCCGCGGCGCGGCTTCGTCCTCGCGCGCCTCATCTACGACGCCGACGAGGTCTCGATTGCGTAGCTACGTCGTCATGCCTACAATATTGAATTCAAGTGCCCGCCACGCAACAGCACACATATCCCTTTGTCATCGACAAAGCGGTTCGCCTCGGCAACCTTGCACTTGTCCAGTATACCTGCACGAGAGCAGCTGTGGCCATGCGACTCCCCGAGCCATGGACACGGCGGCGGCGGGGGATTTGGACCTCGTCCAGATTTTGCATGCCAATCGCAAGGAAGGATGCACGCGTGCAAATTTCAAACTTGCCAAGAAACATCACCACCGGAGCGCCGCAGCCAACAAGTCCATGACAGCCTCCTCGTTGCAGCCGCTTGTGCCGTGCAGTAAAAACAAAGGAAAACCCTTCAACTGGGAGCACGACTGCCCTCTCGAATGCAGGCAAGCTGTGCTGGCGTCGACATTCAGTGTTGGCGAATCCGTTCTCGTCGCATGCATCGTGCTGTGACCACAAACAACTCGGCTGCGATGCATGCCATAGCAGGCATGCATGCGTTGCGGAGACGCTGAAGCATGGGTACTTTGGTGTACGTGGCGTCGACTGTGAGTCATGTCGAGTCGAATTGCTGTCTGCCCAGACAGCCCGCTTCAGGTGGAGTATTCAGCGCAGCTGCTGCCACTTGACACTACTCAAACCCAGGCGGCTATGCTGTTTATTCGCATTCAGTTTGAAAGCTCACCTCGACCAAATCGCAGGTTTGATCCATGTCGAGCTTCGACAACCATGTTGGTTTCACGGCAGAGCGTCCATCCGTTGGAACGATGCCTGTTTGTTTGAGTGGCGAGCCGTATCGCGGAGGAACTTTCTCCATGAACCACACTCCGTGCTGTTTTCAAATTCATTAAACCATGACGCCAACACATCGGCGAACACTTTGCACGTGCTGTGGATGCTGTGCTGTCGATACTGGCCATCACGCAGCGCAAAAACACAGACAGCGCCAGGCGGAGATGTCCCAACCATCCATACATCCACTGCTACCACAACTCCTCGACAGGTTTATTACGCCACCGCGCAATGCCAACACTATGACATGGTGAAATGTTGGCTCACAGGACAAACAATCGCAACCGAGCATCCCTGAGCTTTCGGCTCATGTTCGCACGACCATGTGCTTGAGCCGTTATCGTGGGATGCCTCGAGGACGCGCGCTTCCTCACGGTCACTATCTGCATGCCAAGCAAATCCTCTGGTGATGCTGCCTTCTTGTGTGGTTGTAGCCACGCCATCTATGGTATCAACTCACAGACAAACACTGTTTCTCGACAAGCTCAACTGTTCGAGACATATCTGCCGCGTGACCGCCACAAAATGATCTCTGGGCGGACATGGTTGATCGAGTTGGCATTTTGTCCTCCCCTTTCGACCGATTCAAACTTGCAATGGAAACCATCCTCTTGTCGAATCGACAAGTTGAAAGGCGACAAACTACACAGACTACGCACTATTGCGCTCGATCCAGTTGGCTAAACCACCGAACGAAGTGGTTTTGTTACTTTGTCACGTTGTCAAGGTCTCCAGGAGTTTCCGCAAGCAACGTGGTCACCTCTGCGAATAGCTTGGGGGTGTTGTGTGCGCGGCCGCCCGGAAATCTCTGCAGGTCAATGTTCAATGGATCGCGACCTGGCATTTCCCATTTCACGTGCTGGGCCACTTGGCCACCGGCCACCGATGAGCAGCGCTTGCGGGGGTCTCCATCGATGGAAGCGACTCTATCGAATGTCGAAGGGGCAAGAGCGAATGCGGTGTCTTGATCGAGTACTACGATTCACACAGCAATGAATCGACGGCCCACCTCGAGGAGAGGGGGGGGCACGAGTTGGGAAGGTGATTGAAGCGCTGTATGTAGAGCGGGGGCATGTGGCCTCCAGCACTATTGCTGCATTTTTTGGTCAGAGGCATCGCATGAGTCGACGAGTGCTCCAACTGGACCATGTGCTGCCTGCCCAAGAAATTCGCATCGGAGCCCCGCAGTCGTCGCTCAGGATGTGGCGGCATCGCTTCAAATCTGACCAGATTGCCAACCGTTGCCTCCTATGTGTCTCTTGCCCTGCCACTCGAACGGGAGGGGCTAACGGATCGCACGTGCCTCCGACATCAACAACCAGAACGAAGGTGTACTCTCGACAAAATCAGAGGTCAACTTTCCAACGGGATTTCACCCTGCACATCTGGCGGTTGGAGCACCCACACGACATCATCGGGGTTACCTAGACACGCCAGCAGAGCCGCCGCCCACCCCACACCGACTTCGGCTTGCACAATCTTGAAGTCGTCGTCAAGCCAAACGTGGCATTGTACATCAAAGCGTAGCGGCGCCGCCACCAGCTTGGCCAAGATCGCGTTCGCATGGACGCAGTCTTGAGTGACGTGGGGGAAGTGGAGCATGACCGCTTCGAACGTCATTTGACAGGTCACGTCGACCGAGAGCAGCCATTCCAGTGGGGGCTCCAACGACACCAGTTGCCGTAGCTCCATCTGAAACATGTGCAGCGCATCGCAACTGCATTTCCACTTGGCCACAAGGCCACGCAATCCACCTTCGAGGGTGTCTTTACTGAGCTCGCTCCTGGTGGCAGGCTGGGCGTACACCACCGCGACATCTTCACGAAAAAAGCGACCTAGGTCCGAGTCCATGGTTCGCGTCCACCCGTGTTGAAATTGCACGACAAAGTGTCGTAGCTGGGCTTCGGCAGCACCAGATTTGTCTTGGACGCAATACTCGACCGCATCCACGCGTGGCACTGCTCTACCCACGAAAGTGGCGCCTGACAAGTTTGCCGGGTATCGATCGCTTCCTACATCGGTCACATAATCTTGACCGAGCCCCCTTCTCGGCTGTGGCGACGACGACAGCCTCGCAACTTCGCCAAGGTGCTGCTCGAGTTGGAAAATGTCGTCATGCAATGCCGCAACTTCATCGCTGAGCCGCTCCGTTCGCGCCGCCTGGTCCGCCCGCTGCCGCCGCTTGCTCATCTTGCGGCGGTGGCGCAGGATTTCAATCGATGCGGGGGAATTCGCCCTGGAAGAGCTGGTGTGGCCACTCGGACGGCTCAGCAGGGCAGCGTTGTGGGGCTGGCTGCTCGTCGCGTCGGCGGGTTGTGTGTGCGGCACCACAGATGAAGGTCTTGGTGGTATCTTGTGCATCAGGCGGTCGATGGTAATGTGGGCCTGAGATTGACGTATGTATGGATTTGTCCAGTGCCCTAAAGTGCATACACCCCACTGTGGGATTTCTGTCTAGTATAGGGGGGGGTAACAAATAAACACCTGCCGTTCTCGACCCAGCGGGCGACAAATAATAACCAGGGGGAGACACCAACGGTTTGACCATTCCGCGGTGGCGTTGACTCGCCTCGCGTATCCACTCTCAAGCAATCGATTGAGACTTCGCGATGGCCCCGATCCGTTTTTTGAAATGGGCGGGGGCTGTCTAGCTCTAGACTGCGATGGCAGTTGTGCGAGCAAAGCAATGCCACACGATTGCCGAGTCATGCCCACACCCGAGCGACTGTTGTGGCTCGCGGAAACTCGCAACGGGACGGAGATAAACCATCTCACGATTGTGTACCGGTCTCTCTTATGTATGGACACAGCAGCCGTTCTTACCTCGAGGCATCTTGGATGTCACAGGAAAAGGCATGGTGGGTGACGTTGAGCATCACTTGTCTAAATGAAACCAAGCATTGGAGGGTAAGAGGGGCGGGGGCGTGCTGGCCTTGAACGCTTGTGAAGTTGCTGCCTTGGCTGTTTAGCTATGCGACGAAAACCTCTCGTAGCACCTGTGACATTTCGAATTGCACGGATTATGAGTCGAGATGACACTTACGACGGTATTCACTGCAGGGGGTATGCCCTCCGGTTGATTGCGAGCACTCTTTCAAGCTTCTGCATTCGACGGGCACGAGTTGCTGCTGCGCCGTGGACAGCCCACGAATCGTGCTGTAGCAATGTTACACATGGCAAGGGCTGCCGACCACGTCGCCCGCGCAGTCGTGTACCAGCAGCGACTTTGGCCTCCCCTCCCTCGACCCCAACTTGATGTTTTTCATTCTTGTTGCCCTGGCTGACGTTGCTGCCGTATCCCTGAGAACGTAGGAATGGCTCAGCTAGGAATCATCGCTTCAAGACGTTGAAAGGTTGTCGGCTCACGAAGCGACACTTTTGCTTGACAACGTTGCTTTTTTGCAGGATGCTCGATGAATTCATTCCTTGTCGAGCTGATGGCACTTGCTTCGACCCATACAGCCGTCATGGTGGCTTCGATTCAAGTTTTTCCTTGTGACGGCGGCGAGTCGCGCACGACGTCATGGTTGGTTCGGATCTAGGTGTCGGCGGCGACGTGTTGTCGTCGGCTCGTTCTTCAGCAGGTTTGCTCGTGCCTGTCCGGGGCATGCAGATTGCGATGGAAGGGGCAGGAGGAAAACAGTCGTTGTTCCAGGTGCATGCGGGGGAATGCCATCATCTCGATTGTCGGGTGTCCTTGTCGCCTCGCGCGGGGAGGGAAGCGTATGCGCTCGACAAGTAGTAGCACCTATTACATGTAGACGGGTCTACAACATGTATGTTGCAACATGCAGGAGGGGGATATGACATGCTCGCGATTGCACGACAAATAACATCAATGGATTGTCTAGCGAGGACTACGAATAGAATCAACTTCTCGCACCCGATGTGCAAGCGATGATGACACTTACAGTACGAGATCGTGCGTGGAATCGCCGATTTGGTGCGCATTTTTTAGGGCCAATCCAACGCGACTCAATTGACGACGACGTGCAGCCGATTGAACTTCAAGAAGCGGTCAACGTCCGACAAACTTCCCGCCCGCACTCGACACACGTGATGCCTTCGATTCGTTTCCCTTTTGATGCAGACGCGCCATTCGACGGCATACGGTCGCACCACGGTTATGACGCCACCGTCGTCGACCCACACGCAACCAACAAACATGGGGGTGCGACGTGGCTGCAGTGCGGTTTTGGTGCGTGTTTGGCGTTTTCATTGTCGCACCGTGCGACGAATAACAACCTAGAATTCCAAACCGAACCACACTTCGTCGGAGAGTGTCTGCATTCCGACAGACATTTTCTCCTCTGTTGACGCACGGGCGAGGACCCCGCGAGTTTTTCGGCCGGATTCTCCAGTCGACGGCACATGCGCAGCCAGTCGTACTCGTCTTTGTTGACCTCCTCGTCGCAGGGGCGACGAGGTCCCGAAAGCGGCGCTCGCGACCCCGTGTTGGCGACATCGCCACTTGACCAACCACAATGCCGTCACGGTGGCAGCTGTAGCACAAGTGCGAGCATGACAAGTAGAACGTCCAACCACTCGCCGACCACGCTGGAACGTATTCGCCACCGCCGCAAGATGAACAAGAGGAGGTTGCGAGCTGAACGAGCTGCTCGAACCGAGCGCCTCAGCGACGAAGTTGCCGCGTTGCAAACCGACGTCATCCACCTCGAGCGGCAGCTTTTGAGCGTCGCGCAGCACGTCCACTCGTCAGCGGTGCGTACTGCCAGTACCGGGAAACCTCCTGGCGCTCGCATCGAACGGACGCACACAACCACCAGCGTTGACACCCAACCTCGCACCATGTCCGTCGAGTCCGCCGCTGACGACAAAGAAGCAGCGGAAGCTCAGCTGAGACGCTTCGTCGCGTGCTTGCAGGCACGCAGCTTCTCAAACGGGGCGGATGACCTCTGTCCTTACTTGCATGACAACGTTGAGCTGGTGCACAGCGAGTACATCGGCACGTCGGCGCCAACTGGCGTGACCAGCACCCAACGAGAAACCGGGCTACGTCGTCTCCTGTCCCGATGGAACTGCTTCCGCGACACCGTTCGTGATTTTCAGCTGGCACTCAAGCATCTCGTGTCGCTCGGGTCACCATGCGAATGGCTGGCCTCGATCGAAGTTACCGTGCAACTGACTGACAAAGCTCTGGTGGTCAGGTTTCCACACGTGATCGAAATGGCCGCAGTACATTCGTCTTTCGCGGATGCTCGTGCCAGCGCGATCGCGGCAAAATTGGTGGCGTCGCCGCTGCATCTGGACATTCAATGCCACATGTGGCTGGATGGACATTTCAAGATTGTGAAACTTGACGTTGCCGTTGGATGGACGACGGCCCTCTTACGGTGTCTCGATGACGCGGACGACGTGGTGTGGGTGCTCCAGCCGCCTCGACCATGTGGCCCTTCGTTTCGCGAATGCGAACACTTGGGCTGACGTTCAGATTTGTGCTGGTTTTCGGATGGAATGCCGTGAGATGGCTTCTGCGCACGATCTGTCCACGCAGCGAGGTGTAAACGGTTAAACCATGGCTCCAGTTCTTGACAGGAGACATCGATCTTTCCCCCATTTCAAAAAGCAGTAGCCGCAGTGCTCCAGGTCGAGGGCCATATCTCTAATTGCCCGGTACAACGAATGTGGCGCCAAGGCTTTGGAAATTCACGAAAAGGTGGAGTGGGTGAGCACAGCGCGAAGGCAGGCATACGCTTCAGGATATCGTCGCGCCTCATGGGTTGTGCTCGTTGTGGTGCTGCGCACGCTCTGGAGCATCAATGGAGTTCGATGTCTGACACTACAGAACGATCGGCAACCCTGTCATGCGCTAGCATGTGCTAGCAACTATCCTCAAACTACTATCGTGCAGGCGAGGGACAATCACGTTCTCCGCGAGCACTTACCTCCCCAGCATACCTCGACGCCGCCGCGCCCTGCATCCAACTTGACGAAAAAGGTGCTTGGTACCATCGCTTATGCTTTACACACACGTTCGCGGGAATTCACGGACGTGACTGTTTGGTTTTCGAGTGGTCTGCATGCAGAATTTGGACTCGCCCATTGCAACACACCAACCCTTGCTACATCCCGTGAAAGGTCGATGCATACACTCGGAGAAAACATTTTTTGCACTGCCTTCGTCATGCTGCTGTTTTGACTAAGCCACGCACACCGCGCCAGGAATGTGCCGTGCCTTCAGCGACGCACCTCCCCCATGAAGAGGCCAGCAGTTCAACTCGGAGTGGTCATTCGTTGCACAACTGCCCTTCGTATGTTGTTATTGATTCCGACGACGTGCAACCCACCATTTCCATTGAGCAATGAGCCGTCACATCCAAAGCCACAATCGCCCTAGAAGGCTCCGGAACGCATGGCCCTGAATTTGTCGGCGATGTTACAGTCCATCCATTTGAACAAGCTGTACGTCACGACAACACAACGACGACTTGACACTCGAAAGCGAAGGTGGTCGCGCCCGTTGGATCGACCAGTGACGAGCCTGTGCTCAATCATCCGCCCCGAGACGTATGCTATGACCGAGCAGATCCTGAAGACATCCACTACGCTTGAGCCCATGGCTTTGCTACGTTTGTCGAAAAATTCAAGAAACCTACGGCCCGCAACTTGTCGTATGGCATTTAAACCGACGGACGGTGAATGCAGCGCACGTGCTCAGCCACTGAGTCCATGAGAACGTGAAGAGAAGGACCAATGAGTTCTCCCCGACGAAGCCTGTGGCCATTGCTGAGAGACAAGACAGCAAGGTGCGCAGACGACACGTCAAGTGGATTTACTGCGACTTCACAGCGTGCATGGGCAAATTGTTACATTGGCATCCTGGCAAGCATGGCAGCTCTACACGAATGCACATGGAATTGGTACCAAACAGGTTTCGTCTCCTCGACGGTCCCTGGCACTTGTGGCATGACGTCGGCGGCGTCAACTCTCCGAAGTGACGAATTGCCAAAAGCCTGCCTGGCGTATCTGGGCAACCCGACGAACCGGTGTGAGGCTCCGTCCCTTATCCTTTTCGTTTCCCACGAGACATGTTGGAACATTCGAATGGATAGCGACACCAAGTCCGACGCCAAGTTGCGGCGAATAAAGAGGCTCCAAGCCGCACACCAAGACTTGTGTGGACCCCCACCCTGGACGGCACTTCGCCGTGTTTTTTCCTTGAGCCACGTCCCCACGATCATTCCCCTCGTAGCGAGATGCGATCTCGAGTGTGGACACTCCTTTCGTGTTTGTTGAAGTTAGTCCTTGGGCATGCTGAGTCAGCAATCGTTAGCCTCGACCTGTGTGCGCTTCTTCCGGTCAGGCACCGATCAGCGCACTTGTTGTATGCTGAATGGGTACCCTGGATGCTACGTTGAACGGGCGGAGCCTTGACCTTACACGACTGTGAATTGTGATGCCCCGCTCGCTTGTAAAACCACGTCGAACCCCAGCACACAACGCCAAGTTATGCAAAACATGACGGCCGAACTGCTCCAATATGCATGACGTTCTTCTTTTGCGAACGAACAGGGTCGTCGTCGAGCTCGAGCGGCGTTCCTGCGGTCGGCTCGCCCATCCTGTTGGAGATCATCTTTTCGTAGCGTGTCACGTGCCCTCGGCACGCAATTTGGGAAACCTTTTACCAACTTTCCATCAAGAGATAGAACGCTCCGTTGGCCGCCGTGACGACTAGCTAGACTTCTTCTCGACAGCGCGACGGGCGCCATGAACGGAGAAATAAGAGACATGGCTGGCTTGACCCGTCAGATTCGTTGAACGCAGTGGCCATCCCGGCATGAAATGATCACGATGGTTGGCCCGACGAAACGATGCCACGTGACTAAGCCATCGTGGTCGAGTCAATCCCACATGGTCACACGCACTCGTAAAAGCAGCGCATGGCCGTTGAACACGGCCGTGCACTTGAAGCGCCATTTCCATCCGTCGTTGTCGCGGCGGGTCGAACGAGGCCAAGTGTTGTCTGGACATGCCAACAAGGCCGCTGGCCACCCATCACGTTTTTGAAATGTCCATCCAGTTTTACGTGGCATGTCGAGGCGAAAGGGCAACGCGATCCATTTGGCCACAATGCGGTTGGCGATGGTTTTGAGGACGACGACATGGTCGCACGTTGGATCTTGCGTGGACATCGGAGGTGGACGGACTCGTTACGACATTGCGCCGCCAGTGTTTTAGCAACCATTCTCGAAGGGGCTCGAACGGGACAAGGTGCCGCAATGACAAGTGAAACCCGCGAAAGAAACGACGCAACAACGCTACGATCGAATCGCAGGTCACGGCTTCTTCGCCCCCCACGCGTGATAGCACTCATTGAGTGGTCCACCTCTTGAATGTTGTCATGCACGATGTGGTCGGCGGCTATGTCTGCCGTCCACCTGCGCTGAAATCGCAGGATGAAATGCCTCAGTTGAACTTAACTTTAGCGATATCGTGATCGACGGCATGTTCAGCTTAGGCCGAAGTTGGTGTACCAGTTGCTACACAATGGTGGCTGACTGCATTCGTGAGTGCGTGCCGGCCCCCCCAACGCTGCGTCTGCCGTATCGAGCTCGCTTGTGGTCCCTGCCGTTTTATGCGAGTTCCCGGCCTGCCATACAACGCGAATGAGGTCGACTTGCAGCGCTGCGACTTTGTCGCTCACTTGCTCAGTTCGCGCCTCGCGTGCACGTAGCCGTCGCTTGTTCATCTTGCCGGCGTCGGCTGCTTTCCTCGTTGTGACGCATCAAGATGTGGAAACTACGTCATGGTGCGTTCGTGCTGCCGCGGTGCTGCCACAGCATGGGGTGAGGTTGGAGCGGCCGCTCACAAGGCTGGGGTGGGGCTCGCGCCAGTGACACCGATGCTAGCGACATCTACAGGATCGCAGTGCTCTTGGTCGTACTCGTGACGTGGACCAGCAGTCGGCTTGTCGCACCACCCATCGTACGATGTATGTGCTGGACGTGCCCGACAAATTAACACACCGCCTCAGGAGGGAGACGTCGAGGGGGGCTACAAACAACGAGGCTTTTCAGCACCCATTTCACCGACCTTGACGTGGCTCGAAGGTGCTTCATTCAAGTCGATGCCCCACCACAAAACTGTCCACTCTGGTGCATAGACATGACTCCATTTCTTCCCCCTGTGATACCCAGGACATCGACCTGGTCACGGCACGCTGCTGAAGTTGTGAGTTGCAGGCCTTCGTTTCAAATCCCGCCAATGGACAAAGCATCGGTGGTCTCAGGTCGTAAAACGTCATCAAAGAGGAGGCACAACTCGATTCTCGTGTTGTTGATCTGGGATGGCGTCATATCTAGTCGAGTGCGAGAAATCACCCATTTTATAAAATACAGACTGTATGTGTAGAATAAGTAGTAATCTCAGAATAAGTCATGTCAATTTCCAAAGACTATAAGACACCCCCACGGGGTCGTGACCGCACAATACCCAAGCCTGATCTTCTCGTTGTCTACATTGACTTCGCCAAACACGATTCGATCATGTCCCCCAACTGCTATGCACGTATCGACAGTGTTGTCCTGAGTTTCGCATGAATTGTGGTGCACATCGCAACGCCCCCGACTTGGTGAATGACGCCATTCCGCCACGGTGAACTCGCCTGTGAAACACTGGCCTTCACTAGACAGCGTGAATTCAACTGCACGTCGGTAAGGGCAACAGCACCATAGCGTGTTGTGAACGGGCGCAATGGCGGTACCGCCAGATCGGCCTGAGCACATAAGACAATTCAATAATGGAGGCGCAGTGCAGGTAACAAAGGAAATATAGTGGAATTTGACTAGAACTTGTTAAGAAGTTCTTCAACTCTATGGTGTAATACATATAGAGATATTCTGAATACTCGAGCAAAATCCCAATATTTTAGCCAATGGGTGACATTTCTGGCCACGACGAAGTGAATGATATGATCGATGTACGTTTTAACTTTGGTACTTGAGTTACTAGTATACCCTTGGTATACTAGTAAACAATAAACCCATTCTATACACGACGGCATGTGCTTGTATATCTCGACAAAACAAAAAATGATCATAGTAGTGTATAAATGTATCCCACCTCATTCGATCCAGATTCATCGTAAGCAATCCTTGGGTGATCCATTTTGACCAAGCCGTTAATGGCGTCCGGTGTCACCGCTGTGCCCCGGGTTAGATCCCCCAAATCCCCAGTGTATGCTTGATGGTCAGGCGACTTCTTCCACGCTTCTTTCCTCAAAGAACGTCAGTCTTACCTACACAAGAATCAATCACCACTCGTGATACTACTGCGCGGAATGTTGGTTAAGAATGCAGCGAAAACGATGGGGTTAAAGAAAATTCAAAAGAAATAGTGGCCTACAGTATATATACAGTATGTGAAAAATGTATGCAAAATACTCCCTCCGTCCCACAATAATGCAGGAGTGGTAAAAACCCGATTTTATTCGACTGACAAATCGGGTTTAGGTTTTAATATTTTACACACGATTCCTGGCTATGAACACCATGGTTTTATTCACGAGCATGCGGCTGTATTTACAATAGGCCCATTTGTGCTGGTTCAGGT